TAACGCTAAATTCGTATTTAACTTCGCGGCACAGGTGAGTTTTACACCAAAGGTCGGGTGGTGTATATTACCATAGGCCATCTTCTGGTGTTTCTACTAACATTGTAGGCAGCTGATTTTTGATCAGCACAATCTACACCACCTTTTGTGATGTTGTAAAATGTGATAATTTTAGGTTTATTTTTTTCACCAGTTTCGGAATCAATTCCATCATCTGTATGTAGGGAGGAGATAGCAAGAACCACTTTGCCTTTTTTTGGAATATGTGATACTAAGGTAATATTTTTCCCAAAACCAAACATTGAAGAATTCACTGGTCGTAATTGACCGTTGAAAAATTCCAGTGGAATTTCTTTTCTGTTTTTTCTGATTGTAGCAACTACACCATACAAGAGGTATGGTGGTAAACCAATTATCAAATGTTAAATTGCGACCTGATCCTAATATTGAAGCGCAAAGCCTGAGTACCAAGGCTTCAGTTTTATTATTAATTGCGAAAGGTCCCTCTGGCTGCTTTCCTGCGTATATTTCTAAATTTGACACATAAAATGTTCTTGAGTCTACGATTGCAAATACCTTAATCCCATACTTTGCAGGTTTGTTTGGGATATAAACGCGAGACGAACATCTTCCTCTAAATGCCTAGAGCATCTCATCTATCATGACATATCTCCTAAGCTGTAATTATTCCTGTAATTGCCAACAAACGTTTCCCACAGTTCTCGAATCGGTGCTAAGTTATCAATCTTTTTTCTTTCGTTGCGAGTGTTGATATTATCGAAACGTAGTGAATTAAGTAAAAATTTCATTTTTCTGTAAAAGCAGCAATCCAAAGACAGTCTTCATTTCGGTTACGTTCGTCAATTTCACGCCATAATAGTCTTTATAACGAGTTACAAGTATAGAGATATACATATTGGTATTTTCGACAATTATGTAGATCATCTGATTGTCAAAAAAAGATTGAAAAGTTTCTGTAGGTGTTCTAGCGTTTTTCACAGTATCAATGGGACCAGCCAAATGTGACATTATATTGCATATAATTCATTATTGCAAATTGCATTATATTGCAGTGACAGGCAGAAATAGAGAAAACACTCAATGATACACTCAAAGAAAAGTTCAGTGAAGCACCCTCGGAAGCAGGAGAAACAATAGACAGTATTTGGCACACCTTCAAAACAACAATTACAACTATACAAAGAGAACAACTACAAGACAACATCAGAAACACAAAGAATACATGGATGACAGAAGAAGTCCCAGAACTGATGGACATAAGGAGATCTTACAAAAGTCGCAATGAAGAAAAATATAAAGAAACCCAGAGAATCATCCGAAACAAAATCAGGAAAGCCAAAGAAGAATGGATGAGCAGCAACTGTGAGGAACTGGGAGATTTACTAAAAAAGCATGACTACTTTAATGCATACAAAAATATACTAAGTGACATAGAAATCCAAACACCTAGTTTAAATAATTTTATTTTAATAAAATTTTGTATAAGTACTTAATGAAGCATAATAAGTAAATAATTAAAATTTCAAAATGATTGCATTGCTTTAAAGCCCTTTTAGCTTTAATAATGTGTGGATGCACTCCGATGAGACTGTTCAATTTAGAGATGACATCAAATAGATAAGGGTAGATGAATTTGGTAGTTATCTGTTTAAATATAGCTAGGACCCTAATATGCCATTCAAGAAAGTGGATATTCGACATTACAGGTCTACCAATAAGACAAATAAAACTATGTGTGTTATATCCCCAAACTTTGACGTTCCAAGAATAAACAAGAAGATTGGCAGTTTGTCTGCAGAGAAAAAAGAAGACATCAAGCAGTTATTGCCATATGTACCCCTTGAACACAGATGATATTACGAAGCAATTTTGCAGGGCAATTAAAAAGGATAGCGTCCTACATGTTTGTATACCATTTTTGCATTGACTAACAGAATGTTATTTTGATTTATTTTAAATAAAATATAGCTCTAATTTGTGGCTTTGGCTTGTCTTCTGATCTACACATGGCACCATGTACTTGTTTTCATATATCCTAAATCGTAATAGGTTGATGGACAAAGGTGCTATGTACATATTTGATTTTTTTTTTAAAGGGTGAAATGTATATTTTTCGAAAAAAAATTGCTCGCAAGAACTTTTGTTATCCAAAAGATTCTAGATTTAAAATTTGAGTTTTTATAACAGGTTTTTGTAAAAATGCAACCAAAAAACTTTAACTAACCTGGATTATCTCATTTTCAGTGTGTAACTATTAACAGTGTGTCATTTGTAACATAGCACCTTGACCTTCCAAGCCCTTCAATTAATTGTAAAATAATAAATATAGATTGTTAATAAAAACGATCTTTATTCTATAATAAATAGTTGAATAAATAATCAAAAATCAAAATTTTAATTGAAATTATTTTAATCTATTATTAATTATTATTACTAACTACATTACTATATTAATCTAACAGCGTTCTCCCAATTCTTTCATGCCACATATCCTATCATTTGAACCCAATGTACTTAAATTTAATTCAATGTTGAATCAACAGTATTTTTCTCGCTCCATTTGTGGAATTTTTAATCAGTCATCATTGGAATGCATTTAATAAAACAGTTGTGATAAGATTCATTATTCAACACTATTGCAGAGTTACTGTCAACAACCTGAAGAATGTTCTCGAACCACTTCTCAAAGCATGCAGAGTTCATAATTTCATGATAGTCCCGTTATCTTCGATATAAAAACAATGCATCATTTTGCAGAAACCCAATGTGGGCGATGATTACACGCTGGGCCTTATCTGCCAATTACGTCGACTTATGTAAAACATGTGTCAAGTTTTTATGTACAATTGCAAACACCAAATTAAAAAATCTTTTTTGTTTGTGTATATATACCACCATCATCTCCATTAAGCATTTATGAGGACTTTATTATGGCAACTGAAGATATTATTCAAAATATTGACTTTTCAATGTCCCATATAGTGAGTAATTTTAATCTGCCAAACATAGTTTAGGAGAACTAAGATCTAGGATCAAGACCAGTTGGTAATATTACAGAATATGTTGAGTGTATGTCAAATTTTATTGCTTATTTTAAATTATTTCACAATAATACAATATCGAATATTTTAGGAAATTATTTAGATTTAATATTGTCAAATAATGTTATAAATATCAAATGTGTTGATTTTCTTTTGTTAAATTGTGATAAGTACCATCCAGCACTCTATTTCTGTATTGATTGTGATAAAACTGAGCTCCTTGAATACAATTATTATTATTACCTGAATTATATGTTTGCCTATATTTTTATAATACAAAGATTTTGAGAAGTTGTTATATTATGAGTATACTTTATTGACTACTTATACTTATTTCAATACATATTATGCATATATTGTACATATTTAGATTTGCATAAGGACAATAAAGATATATGTTAATTGTTATGTATAATATATTATTATAACATATTATAAGTATAGATAAAGTAACACATTTTTGCGTCATAAACCTAGGTACAACGAACTAACTGTTCCTACCAGTGTAATATCATTTATAGCAACCTGTTCATTATAACCGATAGAACCTCTTACAGAGAACACTGACTACAACATACAAAAACCACCAGTACCCTGAAGTTTGTTATAAACGATTTTGACTGTATATGATGGAACTCCAAGATAGACTATATGAATCTCAACTTAAGTACAAAAACATCAAGACTTGGGTCTACATGCCTGTAGAAGTATTTACATACAATACATACTTTTGTAGTATAATGAATATGAATGCTAACAAAACATGACATAAAAAAATTACTGAAACACCAAGAGATTAGTTGCAGAAAGAGCTTAAAATAGAAAATAAACCTTAAAATAAAAGTCATGCCAAAAGAGGGAAACATCCTAATATGCATACAATGTTGAATGAATGGTGCTAAAATCAAAGAAAAGAAAATTCTGGTTTATGTATTAGTATAATAAGAAAATAAGCTTAAAATAATGGCAAATTATAAATGAAAGGGTCTATTTGGAGGCCAAATGAATCATTTTGCAAAACTGTGGTAAACACAATGCACTGAATCAAAAATATTGAGCAAAAATAACTTTCAACATCATCCAATTAATAAATATAGTTCAAATAATTATATTAAATATTAACTAAGGGAAATTAGGTTAATGATTATAATTATCAAGTTCAAGTAATGCTTTTCTAAAAAAAATATTCCAGGTAATGGATATGAGTTTTTATTTTTGTTTTGGGTCAACATTCGAGAACAAAATGTGTATGTTTTATCGTACCTAACATAAACAATGTAATAATAGAAACTAAATTGGAACTATACGATTTACATTATATTTATGCAATTAGCTTTAGTGCAAATGATAAGCTTACCACAAATTTTGATTTTCTTTTGTAATGGCAACAACCAACAGGCTTAACTGTTTCCTCTGGAGGTCCTTCAGCACTGGGTGTAGAAATTGATTCCATTTTTTTACTTTAAAAAAATAATATTAAAAACAATTTTGCACAAAAAACCAAGAAGTTTTAAAATTGATTAATTTTACTTTCCTTGAATTGAACTAAATGCTAAATGTCACAATATCTCAATTTCTCGCACTTAGTTCATATGACGTCACAAATGACTTGACATTGACAAATAAGTTGCGTGTCAGCGTGCATTTTTTCGCGAGTTCCATAAATACATGTTTGCATTTCATAACCCTTTAAAATAATAAAGCCCCCGCTTATGATATCTCGGGTAAACTACAAGTTCAAACTTCAAGCTGAGGAACTCAATGTCAACTATGGAACAAAATAGTTCGATTTGGCAATGTTGGAATGTTTTTATAATATATTATATTATACGTCATTGTTTCCACCACGTAACGTGTGTCGTAACCTATGACGTTCAGAGTAGTTGAAATAAACCGTTCATGAAATAGAAGTAGAAAATAAATTTGAGGTTAAGAATTTTCTCAAGTCAGCACTCAGCATTTGTTTTGAAATTTTCAAGTAAACAGTTTTAAAAATGATTTCTCTCATGTTTGGAGAGATTGTTGAACCAAGTACAAGGGCTTTAATAGACGAAGATATAGACGAATATCCAGCGCCTATAGAGTAAAATTTCTTTTATAAATCTCTTTAAATATCTTAAATTAATCTATTTTCAGAATTTTACCTGTATGGGAAGGCACTTGTGAAGTACCTCATGAAATAGACTGCTTATATATTATTGAATCTGCAGCTGTTAAAGATTTAGTGAATAGTTGTGTCATAGAGAAGGAAAATTATCTATGTAAACTTAAAAATGGTGGTGTTGAAATATTTTCTATCCAGGAAAAGCAATATGTGGTAGTATTTCAGGAAGAGAAAGAATTAAACGTAGGAGAAGTAAGTCTTTGCCTTGCTACTTAAACAATTCTGTTTCTTTCATATTATTTTGTTTATTCTCCATTTGCCTCTAATTATTGTATTATCATCTTTTTTTTATGAAAAGTGTAAGCTTTAAGCTGAATCATTTGCATAATAATGATTTACCTAATTATTTGAGAATAGGCTTATTTATTTGTAAACTATAGAATCTTTTCTTAATTCTGTATGTAATTTAGAATATTTTAAATCTTATAACAGCCCTACCTATGGGAAGGTTTGTTTTTTTATAATGTCTTACTCTTGAATTTTGCTTATCCTATTGATTTTTCATATTTTTCTGAAATTTGAAATTTAGTTAACAATTGTTTAGGTAACAATGGCTCAGATTCAAGTTGTAGAGTTATACTGTATATACAATATCACACCATTTCTTGTATCTGTATTATTTTTGAGAGTACATAAAGTTGATGCGAGAAGAAGAAACCACATATTATATGTGATGATATACTCTTTTATGTTTCATAGGTTTGTAATATTTTATTTTGTTTTAGATTACTGAGATACTGGATAAATGGATTCATCAAGCAAAAATTATATATGCAATCACTTCAGAATCTATATATAATTATCAAAATTCACTGTTATTTGAGAGGCCACCCTTCTTAATAAGGATCCTCTCAAACACAGACAATAACATTAAATATGATAAATTAGAACAACCAAATTTGATCACTGGATTAGGTTCTGCTGTTTTATCTTATTGTATTCATCATACAATGAAAAAATGTACATTATTTGTTATTTACATAGATAAATCCCAGCAACTTTCTTTTAATAGCACTCCAATTTTAGATGTCTTCAAAAACACTAAACTTCCTGTAAGAAACTATGTTGTGAAAGATAAACTATCAAATACAGGCAATTTGTATATGTGATAAGTTTTTTTATTTAACCTACTTCCCATTCTCCTAATAAAGTTAGTAGTTAAAGTTTTTCCTAGTAATTCTAACCCTTTTTTTGAGGTGAGAATCTTCTGAAGAGATCTAGTAAGAAGACCCAGATACTATTGGATTCATCTGAACTATAAGGTTCAAACATTACTAAAGTTACCACCTACCAACTAAACTGTTCCTTCTTTCAGTAGCACAGCTGGAACTTTTCTTGATGAAAGTAAGTTCAGGAGTACTACCACGATCCCTAAATCATGGACCCTGAGGGAGTAAGATTGATTTTTTTCTGAATAATTACTATTTAACTGGGAATAAGCCACAATTAAAGATAAAAATATGTTTATTGACGTTTTAATTTCCACTTTGGAAATCGTTCTCAAAATACAAACAGTAAATTAAACAAATTTTGTTTTTTGTTACATAGTGAAAAATTCTTCTAATAATTTAATTTTATCTGACTCATTTATATTGACAATTCAGACATACATTATGCATTTTAAAGTAGACGACTTTAAAATGATATTGCCAATATTGTTGAGTTGCGCTCCTGGGACAACTTTACTTATAAGATAGTTCATTCGATTACATGAAATCAACTTTAACTTGAGAATATCCGTCAGAAAAACATCATAGCATGTAATTCGTCTTTAAAAAGACAAACACATGACATGATGACAGTAAAATTCTCCTGTTAGTGATTCCATAGTAAATTATGAGGGAAAAACCAAGAAACAAACCTCATGATACTATCCCGACATGGTAAGTATTTGTTCGTGCATTTAGTTTACCTTCAATAAACACCAAAATTCTGATTTTATATGTTTCGTTATTTAAAACAACATAAATGATGTATCCTCTATATGTTACTGACTTACTAATACTGGTATTTTCTTTTCTTTACTAATACTGGTATTTATATATTCTTCTTCTTCATGTACCATGTCCTTTCAGAACGTTGGTTACCATCATAGCTATCTTAATTTTATTCACTGCCACCCTAAATAGCATGCTTGTATCAACACCATACCAATCTCGCCAGTTCTTCAACCATGAGGTTCTTCTTCGTCCTGGACTGCGTTTGCCTGCTATTTTTCCTGCATGATATTTTGTAGCAACCTATATTTGGGACCTCTCATTACATGTCCGAAATACTCCAGCTTTCTCTGCTTGATGCTTTTTATGATCTCAGTAGTCTTGCTGAGACGTTCTAGTATTGTGGAGTTTCGAATCTTCTCCACCCAGGAAACTTTTAAAATTCTTCTATAGCACCACATTTCGAAAGCCTCAAGGCGATTTAGATCTATTTTATTCACAGTCCAGGACTCGACAGCATAAAGTAAGTTTTTTTTATTACCTTGTCATTCATTTTCTCATTTTACGATCTCTGTAGGACATGCAAAATGGCCGAATCCTCTTTTGAGTGTCAAGTAGTCACTCTCCGGCACATTCCGCTAGCCAGCCTTAAGTTATTTGTATTTTTGTTACATTGGCGTTCAACGCTCATTCTCAGTTTTTGTTACAAAATCATTTTTCAAATAAAAACTAATGTAAAAATAAACACCATATTTATTATTAATTACATATATACACATTAGGACCGTGTCGTTAAGCAGCTTCATTTTAACTAATTATCACAGAAAAAATAGTTTCTTAAAGCTGTAATACAACGTTAAGTACAACACTGTACAAGTAGAGTGGACTCCAGATGTATATCCTACATAGTACAACCAATCAACAGTTGATATCGATTTTAAACTAATACCGAAAAAATTAACCTTCACCCACAACCACATTTTCTAACTATATAATGTTTAAATATATTATGAAAAATAGTTTAATAATAAAAAGCTTGTTATTTTTCTCCTTTTATACCCAAAAATATCCTTAAATATTTTTAACTATACTAATATGCACATTGCACATGTTCAACCAATCTATTTGAAGGCACTGATTGAAGTTTCGACGATATATATCTGGAGTCCACTTTGTGAAGTAAAAAAACTAATATATTGTAACGAAATAGCCCATCTCCGATGCGGGTATGTGTCACAGTTCTTAGAAGTATGGATCTAGAATATTCGATATTTAGCATTCTTGATGCGCTTTCCACGTGAAAGATAGAGGTGGACTGCTATAGAATATTCTAGTACATAATAACTTGTACATATATAAGTAACGAGGATATTAAGTTTGGAGTTGATAAGAGATTCTCGTGCTGTAAACTTACTTATAAATAAATATATTTATATAAATTAAGAACCGCTCGTTTTATTTAAAAACGGTACAATATGTATATTGATAGAATATAAGCGGTAGAAGAGAAGAATGTCTCCCAGGTGCAAAATAATCACAACACAAATAAAACAAATAAGAGCTTAAAACATTGTTTTAGCAATTATTTTTATTGCTACATAAAAATGTAGTCGACGTAAAAAAAATCCGTTCGGAATTAGATCTCTAAAACAACATTCTGGCTCTGCAAAATTTATAGAAATTTAAGAATTTTATAAACAATTCAACATTTATCGAAAAGATCTTATTAAGTCTCATTCGATTTGTAACTAAAAGAACTATAATATAAAGCATTTTGCATAAAAAAAGAATTTTTACAAATGTTATTTCAAAAATTTAAAATGACGAAAAATTTACATTATTGTAAAGTGTCATAATATCGGATAGTTGCCTATTATGTATGTGCATGTGAACAGTGGATTACTATGGTTTTTTTAATCCATAAACATAACCTTTACAACAGGTGATAATTTGCCTAATATCAGATGGTATATCAGATATACGATATTAGGACAAAATATTTCTTAATTGTTTTTATATAGAATATCTACTATCATTTATACGTAGTTAAGGTCGTGTTAACAATTACATTTTAATGTTTTCTTCAAAAACAAAAAGAAAGAATTATGCTATAATTTTTGCACTATGTTTGCTTATTTTATATCATTTCTTACGTTTTTTTTTTAATTTCAGAAATAAAATGTCATCGAAATCAAACAAAAACGAAAGAAATGAGATAGTAAATCCATGTGCAGCTGTTACTGCAGGTAAAAACAAAAAAATAGGGTACTTGCGAGCTTCAAAAACTTTTAAAGTATCCAAGAGCACGTTGGAAGACTACGTAAAAAATAACATAGTAACCTGAAGAACTTTCAAACCAATATGGGACGTCCACCAGTGTTTTCCAAAGAAATTGAAGCGGATTTGGTCGATTATTGCCTAGAAATGGATAGAAGATTTTACGGACTGGGATCTTCTGATATTCGAAGACTAGCCTCTCAATTAGCTACTCGGAACAATTTAAAACATCCGTTTTCAACTAATCAGAAAAAAGGAGGTTACAAATGGTTCATTTTTAAAGAGGCATTCTGAACTAACGTTTAGGAGACCAAAGGGTTTATCAACTGCCAGAATTAAAGGATTTATAGAAGAAAACGTAAATAATTTTTTTGAAATTTTGGAACCTGCGATGGAGAGGGTCAAATTTAATCCCTGTCGAATCTATAATGTAGATGAGACAGGTATAAGGTATGTACAATCAAAGGATACCAAAATAAATACCTTAAAATATAAAAAGCAGGTAGGGACCGTTACTTCTGCAGAAAGAGGATCACTAGTGACTGTGGTTACCTGTATGAATGCGGCTGGTGGTTTTGTGCCCCCTATGGTCATATTTCCCTGAAAATATATGAAGGCATAATTGCTCAACGGCGCTCCACCAGGGACAATAGCTGCCTGCCAATGTGTCTGGTTGGATTCAGAGTCACATTTTCACCAATTGGTTACATTTTATTAGCCATGTTAAACCAAGTAAACGTAAAAGTTTTGTCTAAAACAAGTCATAGAGAAGAGATCTGCTAGACATCTGGAAACCCATCTTACATTTGTGGACCTACAAAAAGCATATGATACAGTCCTAGTATCGAGACTGTGGAAGGTATTGGAACAAACGAACATCAATCACAACTATATAGCTGCACTTAAAGAACTGTATGAAAATTCACATTCAAGAATTAAGATAGGTAAAAAACTCACAGATGCCTTCATAGTGAATAAGGGACTACGTCAGGGATGTCCTATCTCTGCTACACTATTCAAAATATATGTATATAAGTGCCGCTTTTAGCAGCGGCACTTAAGAGCTGGAAAAGGAAAATACACGGAATGGGTATAGAGATAGATGACAGATACCTGTTTACTCTTCAGTTTGCAGATGATCAGGTCATAGTGGCCAATGACAAAGACGACATGCAATATAGGATTAGAAAGCTGATAGAAGAGTATGAGGAATGGGGCTTAACAGTTAACATACATAAAACGAAATATCTATGTGTAGGCTCTCAGAAGATAATTTGGAGTTGGACAACGGTCAAGAAATTTTGTAATGTCAAGAATATGAATATTTAGGTATCAGATTCGACAATACCGGAACAGATGTGAAAGAGATAGAAAAACGAATAGTTACAACTAAAAAGATAATAGGATGTCTGAATGACATCTTGTGGAGCAAGTAGATAACAAAAAGGAGAAAATTTAATATATACGAGACAATGATTAAGAGTATGTGGCGGAAACATGGAGAATTCTAGACAGACAAAAAAAGAAGGTAGAGACAGTCGAAATGGACGCGATAAGAAGATCTATGCGAGTCTCACGAAGAGAAAGAATGAGGAATGACCATATAAAACAACGAACGATAGAAGGTACGATAATTCAGGATATCGAAAAGAAACAACTTACCTGGTACGGACACGTAGAGCGAATGCAAAATACTAGATGGCCCAAAAATATACTGAACTGGACCCCAATAGGGAATAGAAAGCGATGAAGACCCAAACTAGAGTGGCAGCAAAACATACAAAAGTCAATGAGCGAACGGAATCTATCAACGGAAGATTGCCACGACAGAAGAGGATGGAAGTTAGGTGTCGGACAACGGAGAAGGACGTTCTAAACCGGCATATATATATATA